ATAACATTATAGCCACTACAAAAATGGGGCAGAGGTGGGTGCTGAGGTGGAGGTGGGCATGAGAGATAAAGTGGGTGCTAGGGGAGATGGCGGCTGAGGTGAGTGAAGGTGCTGAGGGAGATGGGTGCTGAGGTGGAGAGGGGAGGGTGCTGAGGTGATTGCTAAGGGAGATAGGGGCTGAGGTGGAGTGGGGCATGGGGGATAAAGTAGGTGCTGGGGGAAAGGGGGGCTGGGCTGAGTGAAGGGGGAGATGGGTGTTGTGGTGGGTGGAAAGGAGCATGGGGCTAAGGTGGGTGCAAAAGGTGTAAGAAAGCATGGGAGATGAAGTGGGTGCTGGCGGAGATGGGTGCTGAGGTGTGTGCAAAAGGTGGAAGAAGGTATGGGAGATGAAGTGGGTGCTGAGGGAGATTAGTGCTGAGGTGAAGGGGGCATGGGGGCTGAGGTGTGTGCTGAGGTGGAGGTGGGCATTGGGTTGAGGGAGATAAGTGCTGATGTGCAGGGGGTATGGGGCTAAGGTGAAGGGGGCATGGGGCTGAGGGTGGTGAGATGGTTGGTGAGGTGGAGGGGGCATGGGTCTGAGTGTGACAACTGGAACCTATCGTCTGTCCCTTCTGTAACTGTACTGAAATTCCGATGTATGAGATTTTCATTATCAGTGCAAATATTCTCAACATGTGTTAACAAGTAAGGTTGTGAGCGCTTCCAGTTCTCTCAGACTAATATTGCTATCAAAAGGTTAGACATAACATTATAGCCACTACAAAAATCAGCAGTGGTTATAACTTCGATGCCTCTTTTAAAATGCATCATAAGATGTCAAGTAGAAATAACTTGGATATGTAAAACATGAACTAAGATTACCAAATACTATTTTGCAGGTGACAAACGAGAAAATTAGGTTGTTGCCATTTTCCAAATATACCTGGGGTTTGAACCAAGAGCAGAACTGAGTGAACCATTGTAGCATCATCCTGACTCCACCAGTTTTAACTTGTTCATTCAGTACAATGTCATAAATTTCCCTGTGCCTGACATTTCTCCCAATCTCCCTCATAATTAGTAGATATAGTTTGGGGATGGTAGCACTGTAGTGGGTGAGATGGTACAATTGTCTTTCTACTTCTTCATCCCATTGTTCCCAATCTACCCAAACCACTGCCATTATCTTCCCAACAATTTCACCTGCATTGTCACCTTTGGGCCCTTCAGAATTAAAAATCATACAACCTTCTCATTTACAATGCCTACACTGTTATAAACAATCACTTTTTCTTTTTTAATAGTGTAAAAAAAAAAAGCTAGCTTTTTCCTAGAGTTTGTGTAGTTTTAAATGTTTACCTCAGGCTTTTTCATGGAACAATACAATGAGTGATGTGACAGTAGTCACAGTCACCAGGAGTTTAAGATGGACAAGTCAATTAGGTCTCTGGATGATTCTTATGTTTTAGTGACCCTGTGCCCATTGTGGGTGCAGGGTGTATGTAATGTGGTTGTTTGGGGTTGTATGCTCTCCTGTCCTTCTGGCCTGCATAGCGCCATCTGTTGGTAGCAACAGCTATATGCGTTACCTGAATAGAAAGATTTGTTAATTTGCATATTCAGGTAGATTTGAATATTGCTAATTCTGCAGACAGAAGAGACATTTTGTTTAATTATTGTCTTCCCCACCCCCTTATAAATATGCCATTATATTATTATAAGTCTCTGTATGTTGTCTGATGTGATGATTGTATTTTTATTGACATGTCACCATAACTTATATGTAAGAGACTATGGGCTAGTCATGAGAAAAATTAAAACTGTGTATGTTTCTTTCCTTTTTGAACTGTGTGTCATGTATTGAATTTTAGGGATCCTAGTTTCAGAGTCTTCGGACCTGTTGGCTAGCTGCACAATTCCTCTACCCCAGTGGCAAATTGAGATGGCTAGGCCTGAGAACTACAAAATGTCTTTGTAAAGACAGGAACAATCACTATAAGATGGGCTGCAGAGAAAAAGACAAAGGGGACAATACCTGTCTGTAAGAAGGGCTGCAGAGGAGTAGGCAGAGGGGACAATACCTACCTGGAAGGAATGCTGCAGCCTGGAGAGACCCCAGTCAAGCTTCAGTGACTGGGACTGAAGTATTCCAGGGTTCCGGGAAGCGGCTAAGAAGCGTACTGGGCGGAGGTACTTGGTCAGAGTACAGGAGCTCCACCCCAAATGGACATTGAGGTTTTATTAGAAGCACTTTTTGCAACAAAATCAGATTTCATTTCACAGGCTCGTATACATGAATCCAAAAGAAAATATAAATAGGGCACATACTAACACACACTGACTCATACAGACACACACACACACACACAATGACCCATACAGCCACACACACTGACTCATACAGACACACATAGTGACTAGTGATGTTGCGAACCCGAAATTTTCGGTTCGCGAACGGCGAACGCGAACTTCCGCAAATGTTCGCGAACCAGCGAACCGCCCGAAACGCCATTGACTTCAATGGGGAGGCGAATTTTAAAACACACAGGGACTCTTTCTGGCCACAATAGGGATGGAAAAGTTGTTTCAAGGGGACTAACACCTGGACTGTGGCATGCCGGAGGGGGATCCATGGCAAAACTCCCATGGAAAATTACACAGTTGATGCAGAGTCTGGTCTTAATCCATAAAGGCAGAAATCACTTAACATTCCTAAATCACAATCAATATGGATTGACACCTGACATATGACATATTGACACCTTGACATATGGATTGACATCTGTCCTCAGGGACACGGCCCCTTTAAGACGGTGTCCCCTGTGTCCCCAGACCTGGTGCAAACCCTTTGTGCCTGCCTTGCTATTTCCCACTTGGTTCAGTAAATGGGAAATTATTTCAGCTGTAGAGACTAAGTCCCATTCGGCGATGGGACTTAGTCTTTTTTTCAGCCGTTTTTTTCAGCCTTATTTCAGCTGCAGAGACTAAGTCCCATTCGGCGATGGGACTTAGTCTTTTTTTCAGCCGTTTTTTTCAGCCTTATTTCAGCTGCAGAGACTAAGTCCCATTCGGCAATGGGACTTAGTCTTTTTGTCAGCCTTATTTCAGCTGCAGAGACTAAGTCCCATTCGCGATGGGACTTAGTCTTTTTTCAGCCTGAAATAGACCGACCTCACAGCTCAAATCTATGGAACTGTTTTGGGCAGGAAAATGTGCTTGCGGTCGGTCATAAAGGGACCTCCAGCTAACTTTTTAACCCCTGGATGGATTTGGTTGATTTTTGGTTATGTTTATGTTTTAAGTGTGCTGATTCCAAATATGTAATTATGAAGATGGGATGTGTAGTTTTAAAGTTACAGGGTATGGCTAAAACTGTATTTTTACTGCCTGTGTTTAATTATGTTAATCTCTTCCCAAACGTCATTTCGTTCAAAGTGGAGAGAATGTTAAAAAAATATATTTTGTTCTGAGTGTGAGAAATGCTTTTCAGCCGCTTCTAATCTTAAGCATCATTTGAAGAGCCATACAGGAGAGAAACCTTATTTGTGGTGTGTTTAGTATTGTTCTGATCAGTTTTGTATCGCCACCTTCCGCTGCCTCCTGTATCAGTGGATCGTACACGCATTGATTTTATTCTGCCGTAAACTTTTGCACAGCCAAGTATATTCACTGCCATTGAAAAGGAGTGCATAGCGGTGGTGTGGGCCCTCAAAAAGCTGCAACCTACTTGTATGGACAACCGTTTACCTTACTCACAGATCACAACAAATTTGGGGCACCGCGCGTGCAATCTAATGTGCCACCAGATAAGAGTGGTGTGTTTAGTACTATTGTTATCAGTTTGTTTACCTTCCGCTGCCTCTATCAGTGGACGGTATATGGCGTTACTTTATAAACCGTGCACCTGGGGATTCGGCGCGGCACCGTTTGGGACAGGCTCTGTGCAGCGTATCCTCCAGGAAGAAAGAGCCTGTGGAACCTACCGCTGCATGCTCCTACCTGTACATGGAAAGCTGCTGTGGTTCCTTTGATGAGCCAGCTGCCCGAGTTAACATGTCCTGTGGAGGTTAATTTGTCCTGTAAAGCTTCCCCACCAAAAAAAGGGATGCAGTGTGCTTTGAAGGGCCACCCTGATCAGTTTACCTTCTTCCGCTAGCCTATCAGTGGACGCGTAAATAACGTACTGATTTTGTAACAGGAGATGCGGTGCTGTAAGAGGTTTGGTCGGGTCCTTTTACTGCAAAATTTGGGCACCGCGCCGGCTGCCGTTGTGGGAATGCGACACCAGATAGAGCGGTGCGGTTGTGGGCGCATCATTTTTATCAGTTTAATACCTTCCGCGTCTCCTATCAGTGGTCGTGTACACGGCATTGATTTTTGTAACAGGGAGATGGAAGAAGAGGCTTGGTCGGTCCTCTTACTGCAAATTGGGGGCACTGCGCGGTCAAGCTAATGTGACACCAGATAGGAGTGGTGTGTTTAGTACTATTTTTATCAGTTTAATACCTTCCGCGTCTCCTATCAGTGGACGTGTACACGGCATTGATTTTTGTAACAGGGAGATGAAGAAGAGGCTTGGTCGGTCCTCTTACTGCAAATTTGGGGCACTGCGCGGTCAAGCTAATGTGACACCAGATAGGAGTGGTGTGTATAGTACTATTTTTATCAGTTTAATACCTTCCGCATCTCCTATCAGTGGTCGTGTACACGGCAGTAATTTCTGTAACAGGC